TTGGATTTATTCTTCCCTCTACTTTGCTAATACCTGCAAATTCACCATCAGGCATAAATTTACTTTCATCACTGAGAATGGATAATGTCTTACTTTTACATTCACATTTGTTCTTGACAATCACGCCTGATCTTTTATCAGGCTTTAACAAGACAATATCAGAGTTTGTTCGTACGTATTTTAGTGATTTAAAATACTGAATAGTTAATATGCTTCTCTGCTTTGGTCCACGATTAAGGAATTGGTGGGCTATACCCAACAGTTTACATTGGTCTCAGCTTTGATTATTTAAAGACGTAGGGGTTAGCGTACTCAGTTGATCCACTATCCGACACTGGATGTCAATTGGTCAAGTAAGAACAGGTGAAATCCCACATCCACATAAAAACTAATTCATGCCCTCTGCTAAACCAACAAATTCGAACGTGACACGGATATATATTCATCAAATAAATATTCATCATTAAATATTTCGCTTTCATTACTAACATGATTGTCTGTGGATTCGAAATGGTCTAATGATTTATCAAGAATAATCTGACGAATCTTCGGGCAGTGGAGGTGAACGATGCGGAAGCACTTACCAACATGCAGACCTACTACACTTATTTCAATCACATTGTCTGACATGCCCTGATCCAGCAGACTTTGAAAGTAAACTTCTTTTTGATACTTAACTATAAAAAACATAGACAAGAATTTGATAACTAGTTTCGGAACTATGCAATTTGTCACCAAGAGAGTGTAATATTACAGAGCCAGTAAGAATATGTACGAGTAAACAATTATGTGATTCTGTTTTCTACAATATCAACACTATACTCAAGGTATCCACTTTAAATTTCCAAACAGAATAATCTGACGAAGCTTCGAGCAGTGGCGGTTGTCGAGGAGTTGAACCGGGTGCTGCCTTAACTGGAATAACCGGGGGTTCGTCTAGGTTTTCATTGCGTTTTTCCGTAAACGTCTTCATCACCAGTTGTAACATGTATAATCAGCAGTCACTGAAAGTCACAGCATATCTACGCAAAGTTCCAATGTCCGAACGCTTTGACTACCTCGTACCCTACTTGAGCTATGAAGCAGTAAGAAGAGCTACAGCCAATGGCTTTGCGACAAGTAACACACTTGCGCGAAATCGGAGAATCCTAGACGACTGTTTTTTCATACCCGTGGACACCCAGCAGGTGACGATCCAGTTCTTATCACGTAACCAGAAAGCAAGCGAGAATCTGATCGACTACCTTAGCTCTTTGCAGCAAATAGCGGTGCAGGCATTTCCTAGTCTAGATATCGTTGGACGAGAGTAATTAATACGCCCGCATTTCGTCGAAGGGCTGGTGCCGGGTTCACTAAGTGAACACTTTCTCCGAAGCCCACCAGTTGATACAGCTGACTTGAAAAGAACAGTACTCCGTTTCCTGACTGAAGACAAACTAGCGAATTCATGAGATGCACACCTACCATCGGTGATGACTGCGGAGGAAGCCACAGAATCTAGTTGCCTGGACAGTTCCCAGAGGGCAACGGCTGTTACAGACTTTTCTAGCCGGGGTACCAGTCGCGGACAGTCAAGCTCGAGGTGCAGTAGATGGTCATCATGGAACAACTACCATGGCCATCAAGCTCAATGCATATTATGATGACTCAACTGAGCTATATTGGCTGAAACACATATTCCTTTAGGCCATAACCGTCCCCATAACCCAGGTAAGCCGTGTCTTTATTATTTATCTTCTCATGTTGATCATGTCTACCCGATTACGGTTAGAGGTAGAGTGCAAGGCGTTGAGATAGAAATACTACTAGACACGGGAGCTTCGGTATCTCTTATCAAGGAAGAGCTCTTGAGGAAACTGAACTATAAAACTCAGCAAAATCGGTGTCTCTCTACGTTAATCACAGCATGTGGCGATCCTTTGAAACTGTGCTCTAAGGTGTGGTTAGACCTCACGATAGAAAAGCATCAGTTTCGGCACGAATTCTTAGTTTCTCCTGCATTAACTTGGGACATGATTCTAGGCGTTGATTTCATGTTAAAACACCAAGTCTCTATATTCATGGATAGGTCAGAAGCAAAAATTGGTGAGGCTATAGTACACCTGCACCACTATGAGATGCCAACTAAGTCTATAGCCCATGTGAGGATTTCAAAACTTGTACTTCAAGTATATAGCAATCAAATAATAACAGAAAATGATCACCGCGCGACGATTGCTATGTTCCAGCAGTTAAGTTCTGTGTTTGAAGAAGGTATTTCCGGAGATCGGACGACTATAGTGCAACACATTCTTCACAGGTGACCACACGCCACTTCGACAGCCACCTCGTCAGGTACCAGTGCACTACCAACCACAACTGGATGCAATGATAAGAGATATGGTAGACAAAAACATTATAGTCCCTTCATCCTCTCCCTGGGCGTCACCTATTGTTCTAGTTAAAAAGACTCCTCTCTACGTAGATTATCGACGCCTGAATGCCGTAACTAAACGTGATCCCCTTCCGCTTCCGTTGATCGATGCTACATTAGACACCTTAAAAGGTGCAAGTTGGTTTTCGACATTGAACCTAGCGTCTGAGTACTGACAAGTGGAAGTCCGACCGCAAGATAGGAAGAAAGCGGCATTTATAGTACCAAATGGTTTATATGGATTTCAAGTGATGCCTTTTTGTTTAACGAGTGCTCCGGCTACTTTTCAGTGACTAATGTAAACAGTTTTACAAGACAGTACCCCAGAAATGTTTGATTTATCTTGATGGCATTATTGTGTATGGTATCACACCCGAACAACACAACACTAGTCTGAAAGCAGTACTTCAGAGCATAAACAACAAAATTTTAAAAACCGTCACTGTTTTACTCTTGTGATTTGTTGCATGGTGTTCCCCACCTTTCAGTGACTGCCGATTATACGTGTTACAACTGTTTGTTAGAGCAATCACTAATTCTGGTCTCTTAAGAAGAAATATTCTTCCACGGTGTGAGCAACCAGGAAGTAACAACCGCCCCTCAGCACTCGAGATCATCCTGTTGGCGATCGAATCCCTCCCTCACCTCTTAATATTTCTTCCATCCCCACAACTAACCCTTATTTATCTTTGCCATCACGCGCCACCTATGCTAATGATTTGAGTTTACGAAATTTTATTCCTGGTTTCCTGAAACCACGCTCCAAACTATATATTGGAGCTTTTGATGTTCGAACCTTGTGTCAAATTGGAGAACAGGTTTCTTCAGTTAGGATTGTAGAATCTCGCGCCATCGATTTATTCTGCATCTTTGAAACGCGCACACAGGCTCCAAGCGCGGTCATTCATTTAACTTCATCTTGTCGACACAAAGAACCGGTACGACTTACTCTTTTAGCATCTGGAGACCCCACTGCTACTTCCGAGGCTTCGCTGATGCAGGTATAGCGTTAAGTTCTAAAGTAGAACAGTTTTTGTTAGACTGGATTTCAATAGATAATCGCTTGTGCTCTGTTCGACTTAACAGAACAGTAAGAACTCGAGAAGGTAGGTTCATACACCGTTGCCTTTTCGTTGTCTCTGCCTACCCTTCCACTGATTGCAGCTCGAATAAAGTTGTGGGAAGCTACCCAACCTCCCTCAAAGAGCTAAACACTCTGGTTTAGCAACAATGGCAGGTGATTTTGACGCTCAGGTAAGTAAACTCAACAAACCGAAAGGTACTTGGGCAGATTTTACGGTGTTGCGGCTCAGAGAACAGATAATGGCAACCGTCTTGCAATTATGCTCAGATAACCGTCTATTTCTGGCAAACACCAACTTTAAGCATAAGGAGAAACGTCGTCTGACGTGGCGACCTCCGCGATCGACTCAAGTAGATCACATTGCCATTAGCCATCGTTGGAGTGGCTCGATTGAAGAGTCTCATTCTGGAGCACATGTTTAGACTCGGATCATGTCCTAGTTTGAGTACGTATTTGTCTGTATCTCACTGGACGTATAAAAGTCAGGAAGAAAACTCCTTATAGTTCAACTCAATGATGGGGAAATTAAGATTGTATTTCAGGAACCATTAGAGGAGTTGTTCAACCGTGAAAGTGGTATCCAACCTGATGTAGCTTGATGTGATATCCAAAAGCAGCGATACCTACTAGTAACCTAAACCAAAGGGTTAAGAAAAATTAGTGGATTTCGGTGGCGTCTACAGAACTGATAGATGCTTACAAACTCATCCTGTCTGGCCCTGAATCACAATTCTGAAGGCCAACACATCATAACAAAGAAAAACTGTTAAGCATCAACGATATAATTAATTATTGCATTAGCAATCAAATTAAAAAATAGTTATCAAATCATAAAAATACATAAGGAGGAAAATAAATTTTGAGTAAAAAGCAAAAGTACCGTAAAAAATAATAAATAAATGAGAAATGAATTTTTCTGGGTAATCATTATTAATGACATAGAAACCTTTTGATTCAACCATTCAGAGAGAGGGGACTCAGAGAAATAATTTGCACCCTGTAAGATGCTAATTCTAAACAAAAGAGAACGATTATTCAGAATCAACCTCCTCTTTATCACAAATTACTTTATAGGTACCTAAGTTAAACAATAAATGTTTGTGAATCTTATTTATCTTATGATCATTATTAGTATCGAGCAGCAAATTTCACCTGTCAAACTGATTAGGTTATCAGGATCAGTTATATGAGAAAATAGTGAAAGCTGAATTCTAATCAAATGAAAGATATCAAAAGTAAAAACATAAAATGAGGAGAGCAGTGATGAGACTGGAAGATAAAAACACTAAATGTTATGGTCTCTTGATAGTGTATTTGAACCTAGAAAGGCTGAAACAATTATGAGAATTGTATTGTTGTTTTCGTATTTTATGTCATGAGTACTTCAAATACTTTACAGTTTCATAAAACTCAGGTCACAGCTTGTTATTTAGCGATACAAACCTCAATGTGACGAAAAATTACATAATTAATGGCAAAATAGGCTTCATTGAGTGAAGAAAGTTAATCGGATGCTTCGTCACTTGCTTCTTCATTTGGAAAAACATGCTTACTGTTTTGAATATAACGATTAGATTGAGCTAGCATTGAAGTATCTCCCTGGAGTGATGAACAAGACGAACGCTTATGACGAATCCGGCTATTATGTCCCTTTATCGAAGTGTTATTACCACGGGACTCTATATTTTCATTGGTTTTATTCGTACCATTAAAGCATGTTGTTCTTTTAGAGTCTGGATTTGGATTATAAACTCCCGGAGTAAATGAGTCACCATTGTCAACGCGTTGTCCAATCATATTTACATAAGCATTGAATTCTTCAGACATCTGGGCATACACTTGATGTCCGGCTCCTTCGATTACCTAAAATATGGGTATTCAGATTACTTCCTGTAAGGTTGATACCATAATAAAAATCTAACAAAAATAAACAATCATTTTATTAAATAGACGGGTGATTTTGAAACAACATATGTTAAAATTATTTAGGAGTGCAGGTGATATAACTGATAAAATTAATTAACTGTGATACCTGAAATGATGCATGAAGTTAGAACGAAATGATTGAAAAATCTAGGAATTAAAACTCATTTGTATACTAAAATAGCCACCTATTTTAGATAATAAATAATTATTCAAGGAAGAAATCAAAAATTAACTAATACTATTTCGCGTTTGCCCGTTGTAGCGATGATTATGTAAGGGAAAAACAACTTATTTGAATGTAACGCAACCTCATCTTAAAAATGTAATCTTCCATCCACATATTAACGAAATTATGGAATTGAAATGATAAGGCTACTTTTGTTGAGTATCAATATATATTTTACACATTAAAAAAGTCTACATATAAATTATGCCAATACATTGAAGTATGACGCTTAGCGCAAGGATGGTCATGGATTGTTCATAGGTCTAAGCAGACACGTTAAAATTTAAACGCTAAGAACTGCCTAAGTAATGATTAATATATATACTTGAACATTTTTAAAGTATTCCACAATTAATCAGGAAATGTGGATGTACATGTTTGTGAAATTCCATCTCATAACTTACAACCATTTACGCAATATATATTTACGACGACAATAATGATTAACTATTGACTAGAAATAATTCAATTTAATAAGGTATGCCCTAGTCAGTAACAACAAAATGTAAGTCTTGTTTTTTTTTTAAAACAGGACTAGTTACTGTAATTGCTTTATATGCACTTCTATACTTATAGATATGAAGAAAAAATGAGAAATTAAAATACCTCAAAAGCCACATTCGTTAGGGTGTGAACCACACCAATAATGAGATATTACTGAAGTCCCAACAATAAATTAGGTAACATTAATTTAATTCAACAGACAAATAACGAATGCTAGTCAGTATGAGCAAGGCCTAAACAGAAGCCGTCCAACTTAGAATAAATTAAATGAAAAGCTTCATTTAGAGAGACAAGTTTTAAAAGAACTCCATTAAAAGTCTTAATTAAACTATCTGGAACATCATCATTTAGTGAATAAACACGAAGGTAATAACCATATTTGAATCATAAATTGGATCGTAATCATACAAAATTACCAGTTCAACACTGCTATTTCAGCTACAACATATCATAGCTCAGTCAAGTAAATTTGGTACACTAGAATATTTACACTTTATCAGTCAGATAAATTATTCACAATTCCTGGATCTGTTCATTCATACAACAGATAACTGGAATCAAGAATTCTGGGTTCGGAAATTTTCGAAGTATGTCAACCTAGATTGCATAAAAAACACGAATGAATCAAAGTAATGTACATGGTTAAAACTGTAGTTGCAATTAACTGTGTTTAAATAAAAAAACTGCTCTATTATTAGATTTACTTAGTTTTCCTGATGAGTTTTATCATCGTTAATTATGTAAAGCCTCTTGAAAATGAGAATGATTCCCATTCATTAAATCCAGAAGGTAAAATGCACATAAGTAGTGCGAATAAAAACAAATCATATCCAATGGTTTGAATAGAATCTGTTATCATTTACCATAAAGCATAATTCAACTTATCTTCCAAAATATGACTTTATGTATGAATGAAAGGTAAACAAGACCACATGTTCTTTATTTTCAGTCGCTTAAAAACCTAGAAAACGTGTAAGTGATAATTTGGATTGTCATATTCTAACGGAAACTGAAGGGATAGAAACTTCTAGAACTAATCCATGGACTATTGTTATATATAATCCTATTGTATAATTGTTGTTTATACGATTTACCATTCTTATCTGTTGCCATTTTGTTATTTACTGCCTTCCCTATTCATAGCCACTTGGCTTGATTATGCATAATTGTTATTTTTTTACTTTATGGTGTGATGTTTGGTATATTTATATAGAAACTACGTCTTGTTGAAATATAATATAGTGGAGTTTGGTTACCAACTTCTGAACTCAAGGGAATGGCAGAGAGAGGACTACAGAATGGTGAACCAGTAAGGATCTAACAAGTGACCCAAAGTTACTAGTACTGAACAGATGTAATTGATCAACTCAGACACTAAATTATATAAATCAGGATTCTGATTATTGGTTTTGTCATGTGATATTAGTCAGTGGTCATAAAACATAACATGGATCATTTTTAGAGATCCGAATTGGTATATGTGGAAAACTCCAAGTAAGGATGAAATAGGTTTTAACTGCACAACTGATGTCATTAACTATGGCAAATACTTCTAGAGCCAGAAGTAGTGTACTCTAAGTTATTACGAGTTAGAGCATATGAAGTAAAGACCGGTCTTCCCATCGGGAAAAAATTAGGAAGCTTACAGAAGTCACTAAATGAAACAAAACAACCACTTGGTGCAGTCTAATACGAATTAATAACTAGTTTATAAAACAAATTATCATCCAAATCTATTGAATAATGGACAGTAGTATCACGCGACGATCCAAACAGCAGCAATCCCATGAAGATTTTAAATTTCGACTACTTGTTTGAAAATTGATCATTCAAACCAACCAGCCAAAACTCGAGTTATTAAAGTATTACAAACAAATGGTAACGAATATACTGAAGTTGACAAGATAAGTTGTACTAGCCAACAAAATCAATGGAGAAGAATCAATTATCTAGTAGAGTGAACTAATCACAGTCTAATCAAATCCAATATAAATCAGTTTATTAAGGTGTTTTGGTGGACTTATCTATCTGACTACATTACTCTACTACAAGACATCAAAGATATAATACTATTTGTTGACATTGTATTACAGTACTACAAACATTAGTAAACATCTCATTCCCAAAATACATCCTAACACATACACAAACATAGAATGTGCCATTAGGTTTAGTTAATAAACAACTGATAAGTAATCACATATTTTTTAAATTATTTTTAACCATTTTTCTCGGAACAAACGATAATGAATGAGGACACCCGTCCTTGTATGTTTTTACAAATATAACACAAATGCATACATATACAATCACGCAGTGTCTGAGCAGGGAAAATAAAATGGACCGATATGAAGACATATATACACAAATATGTCATTTTTATCAGAAGGGGTTTTGTGGAGATTTTTTAGAAATTTCAATAGTTGGAATCCTGAGTCAATCGAAGCTAGAACATCATGGAAAACCTGGAAGCAATGGACGGCCGTTTCGTCTTAGTATGGGACTCCTCAGCAGCGCGCACCTACGATTCCGCCGCCCGTGAGACTCGAACCCAGGACCTATCAGTCGCGCGCGCGAGTGCTTAACCATTAGACCACTGAGCCGGCATCCAACGGTGTTAATGTCTAACTTCAACCAATCCACGAAGTTGCGCCACCACACACCATTGTCTTCAGTGAGTTGATATCTCACAACAGACCTGGTTGAACTCCACTTGTAACGTAATGTAATTTTTTGTTTGCACAGTTTGATTTAAGAGATGACATACGAACAATCAGTCAGTGAAGTGAACTAGTTTAAATATGAACGACTTAAAGGAGCACTTAATACTTGTTATTGTTCTACAAGTGTTATTAGAACTGATAATAATTATTGAACTCAATAAAAACATAAATTAACGGTTTGAGACTGGATTATGAAGACCTCAACATCTGAAGGAAAACACGGAATACAATGGACAGCTCAGAATCAATTAGACGATTTGGACTTCGCAGATGACCTAGCCCTCCTATCACGTACACACGAACAGATGCAGATGAAGACAGCCAGTGTAGCAGCAGTCTCTGCATCAGTAGGCCTCAGCATACACAAAGGGAAAACTAAGGTCCTCAAATTCAAAGCGGAGAACAGCAATCCAATCACACTTGATGGCGAAACTCTGGAAGATGTAGAGTCCTTCACATACCTGGGAAGCATCATCGATGAACAAGGAGGATCCGATGCAGACTTAAAGGCGAGGATCGGCAAAGCAAGGGTCGCATTCCTATAATTGAAGAACATATGGAACTCAAAACAACTTTCAACCAATATCAAAGTGAGAATCTTCAATACGAACGTCAAGGCAGTTCTACTGTATGGAGCTGAAACTTGGAGAACTACAATAACCACAATCAAGAAAGTACAAGTATTTATAAATAGCTGTCTACGCAAGATACTCAACATCCTTTGGCCGGATACCATCAGCAATAGCCTTCTGTGGGAGAGAACAAACCAACTTCCAGCTGAAGAAGAAATTAGGAAAAGATGATGGAAATGGATAGGACATACATTACGCAAATCGTCAAACTGCATCACGAGGCAAGCCCTAACATGGAATCCTGAAGGGAAGCGAAAAAGAGGAAGGCCAAAGAACACATTGCGTCGGATAATAGAAGCAGATATGAAAACGATGAATTACAACTGGACGGAACTAGAAAGGATTGCCCAGGACAGGGTTGGATGGAGAATGCTGGTGAGCGGCCTATGCTCCTTCACGAAAAGTAACAGGCGTAAGTAAGTAAGTCTTTCGCCACGTGCAAACTAATTGCATCCAATAAAGTTCACTTCATATCACTTCCTTACAAAATGTTACATAAACATAGTTGATCTCTGGGGGGACAACTCAAAGTATTAGTTTCTATTCATTGATCGATTTTCTATTGTTTTAGAATTATTTCGTGAACCAAAAGCGATGTCTCTTCGAAATAGCCTTATTTATTTATTCATAAAACAATTTAACTTTGTCATATACCAAAAGGTGTCGATTACATAGATTCGGTTTTATTACACTTATATCACTATGCATTAGTACTTATATATGCTTCTAATATATTGCTAAACGACGTTATTCTGTTTGGGGGAATGATTTAGGGATCAGGGCACGTGAAATGCGGCTTCTGTGGTTGACGATTTAGTCAGTCAGCTACAACGTAGGATCAAGCACATACATGCATCAGTCCAAGTTGCCATATCTCATTAGCTCAACAAGATGGACACCGGATTCATAGAAGTGGTTGATTCAGTGGTGGTAATATGTAAAAGAAAGATTGCATATAAGTATATAGTACAGGAAGAAAGATTTAGTATGTAGAAAGAAAGATATGAAGCGATTTTAATCTCATAGTTTAAAGGAAGATAGAGAGTATATACACCTACGCCATTGTGATCGATTCTGAGCCATGTCACCCACAGTCTCCAACCATTGGTTACGATAGTCACGCGGACCCCAACCAAGTAGTCTGTTTCTACCAACATGGCTCAGAACAGAAGTTAGTGGCTTCAAGCACTGATGCCACGTTTTGGTTTGACCGCCCCTAACTTTCTTCCAACCATCCCCAACATCGGTTAGCATTGCGCGTCGTGGTAATCGGTGTTCAGGCATACGCAACACGTGGCCCACGCGTCTCAGTCGATAAATATTCACAACCTCATCAACCGATTTACCATCATTCCCTAATACCCAGTGTTTAACTTCACTATTACTTACCCGGTCATCCCAGCAGATGTGGGTAATATTTCTAAGGCATCTGTGGTCAAACACTTGTAGCCTATGAGTATCTTCAAATCTTAATGGCCATATTTCGCAGCCGTAAAGTAGAACAGAACGAACTGCCGCGCAGCATACTCCTCCTTTTATTGATAGACGGATATCTCGCCTTCGCCATAGGTGATATAAGTTGGCAAAAGCCAAACGAGTTTTCTGAATCCGTGCACAGCTTTCGTCAAACACCAACCCATTAGGGTTGATCAGACTTTCAAGATAAGTGAAGTTAACAACGCGTTCGACTACTCCTTAGTTCAGGTGTTGACGCATACCAGTCCTGAAGCAACAACTTGCAATTAGAGAGGGAGAAGCGCATTCCAAACATTCTGGCATTGTTGCTTAGTGCTACCAAAAGACTCTGCATTTTGTCAGCGTCTTCACCAAACAGGACTATGTCATCTGCGTATTCTAAGTCAATAAGTGGACCTCCTGGTAGGAGATCAATGCCCAAGAATTCAGTCGACGAGAAAGTTATTTCCATCAGCAGATCTATGATGAAGTTAAACAGAAATGGAGAAAGTGGACAGCTTTGACAGACACTTAAAGTTGCAAAAGCAGATGACAGTTCGCCATAAGCTCTGACTCGACTAGTAGTGTTCGAGTGAAGAGTCTTCACAAGGTTTATGTAATTCTGAGGTACGCCATTCAATGACAGACACTGCCACAGCACCTCTCGCTTCACAGAGTCAAATGCCGCTTCTAAGTCAAGAAAGACCATCATTGTCGGACGCCGATAAGTATGCCTGTGTTCGAGAACCTGATGAATGGTGACTATTTGATCGATGCGACCACGACCAGATCTGAAGCCAGCCTGATTTTCTCGTGTTTGCAGTTCACGAGTCTTAGTTAGGCGTCCGATCATTATCGAGGCTAGTATTTCAGATGCTATATTAGTTAAACTAATCCCTCTATGGTTGTCACAGGATGATTTTGACCCTCTCTTATATATTGGGACGATAAGTGACTGTGACCAGTCAGATGGGATAACGTCCAACTCCCAGATTTTAGCTAAAATATTAGTAAACCTAATCGCTAAAATTGGACCACCATCCTTAAAGACCTCTGGAGCTAATCCATCTGGACCAGCTGCCCTTCCTCGTTTCAGATTAACCATAGCCTCTTGAACTTCAGCTAGAGTTGGGGGACCTACTACAATGTTCCATTCACACTGTCTGGGAATGGAGGGTAGTTGTAGAGTAGCTAAAGGCCAGCTGAACTGTTCTCTAAAATGTCCCGCCCACCGTTCTAAACGTCTGGACTGGGAGCAGATGAGAGTGTCGTCTTTTTCCGAAATAGTCTGACTTACACTTGACTTATTAATTCCAGTTTCTTTTATTAGTCTGTAGAGCTGTCTTGTGTTCCCTATAGCCGCCGCCTTTTCCATCTCTTTTGCTTTCGTTGCCCACCACTGCTCACGGTCGTTCCTTATACTTTTGCTTAATCTAGATCTGATTTGTTTTCGCTCTTCATCGTGTTCAGAGTCTGATGGGATGAGTTTACGGGAACCCATCAGTGCAATAGACCTTGAAGAAATCCATTGGTTCTTGTAACCCTGTGGTTTAAATCACTAATAGATGTCACTGCTGTTTCCACAGCTGCTTGTATATCTTTCGAAGCAACACCTGCTCTCGTACTTATTGCTATGCACTAGAATAGTTGGCTATGGTGACACTTGAGGAGGAAGCCGAAAGAGGAAGTTTAGAGTTGAAAGTCGATGTAGGAGGAATAATAGGAATTCAAGAGGAAGGTTGATTATGAATACAGTAGTCCTGAGTGATGTTAGAGGTCTGAGGGTGTTTATCACTTCCCCGTTGCCCACACCGTAGAAGGGTTCTTCTAGAGGTACCTGAAAAGGAAATTGGATTAGAGGTGGTCATTATTGACCTGAGAGCGTGACTGCAGTGCCCAAGGGACAGCTGCTTGAGGTCGGTCACACACGATCTTTTTGTGGGTAATTTTCGTGTTAGCTCCGTACTTGTTGAGACCTTACCGCCGTAGACGGATATCCGTGGTATAAAGTGAGGTGTGACATTTTTAGGGTCGACCTTCCCTAACCCCACCCCTCCTTGTGAGAAGGCAGCATCGCTGTCATGCTGGTTGTCTGAAGGAAACACCTCACTGCCGTCACACCTCTTTATAGTCAGCAATACGACTTCGCCTTCGGTTTGTTGCTTTTAGTCTTACCGCTCTTTAACTGACCTGTCTGGCATGGTAGGATCTTGAGGAACGGTTGTTCCAACCAGTATAGCATGGTTGGTTCGTCACAATAGGCAAACCCGACCACCACGTCAAGGTAGCATCAACGGTCGATTTACACTTTCATAACCCAGATTAGTTAGTTTTATATCTATCGTACCCTTGATCTGATGAAGACAATTAGGAGAGGATTTCATATAATGCAAGAAATGCGATACAGCCGCTAATTCGTACGTTAAACTCTCATAACCACAGAATTCAGTTGTCTAAGCGAGAAATGACCAAGTGATATCATACGATTATATGAAACTCTCACTAACTAATGTTATAACAACTAGGTTATATTGAATTTCTGACGGTATTTTAGTATTACGTACCATGTGATGAAGAAAATATAAAAAGGTCTCAAAAATAGTTTATTATAAACAACAATCCAACAAATGAGATCAGTCAGCAGGTTTTCCATGATACAGTTAGTATAGCTTATTTTCTTTTTTTTAATAGATTTATGCATAGAATAAGCTCAACAATTCGAAACAAAATTTGTTAATTAGAGGCTTTTATAACAGACAATTAATTAGCGTAGGCAGTAGTAGCTACTATAAAGAACTTACTGTTCAATTTTCCTGCCTAACAAAAATTGGATACCAAGATAACCTCAAAGTTATTGACATTAAAATAATCTTGGCTTTACATAAAATATTAAGGCATCAAAAACAAGTCAGTATTATTAATATAGTGCAGTGGGATTAATTATGAGTTTAAGCAAAGGCACAGTGCTTATGATCGTAGGGTATAATTTGAAATTGTAAATAAGTAAAAAAACTAAAATTTTATTAGGTAAGAATACTGGAATACTTCATCTAATCAGACACATTGTACTATCCACAGCCGCCTTTTTATGATTCATGGAACAGTGGGAACTCATTTGAAAACAAAAATGGAATTTGTACTGTGGTGTCTAGTACAACTACGCACTAACATGATTCATTCTAGCTCATAGACAAAGAACAACTCAGACAGCATGTGACTATTGAGTCATTATTACCATCATAATAACCTTACTATTTTCATAGGAAATCGTTTTATATTCATGTCCTGATTCTACGCTTATGAGCATTGTGTGTATGTCCGTCACTCATTATTTTGTCCAAAGCCTATCTCTTTGTCACATTACACATTATCTATTTTGAGCTATATTAACTCTTGTAATGAGTAGTATGGGCGAGTTGGCTCACTTGTCGTCTCCACTTCACTTTGGTTTGCCCGCACAGACGATTGCAGTGAAATAAACCGATTCAACAGAATTCGCATTTGGCTTTTTATTACCATCGTACAAACGGGGTTAGGCTACGTGAAGTATACAGAACTAAACGAAAGCATATTTGTTCGTTCGAATTGGAGTCAGATCAAAGAGCCACTAAAATACAAACTGGGTGTTAATAATCAGAGGATAATGTATTTGATCAAACACTATGGTGTGTGTGGTCAAGATTATTTGTGAAGGAAAAATGACGAGGTGGCTACCTACCTTTACATCTACGTACGAATTAGGAAGTAATACACGAGTTCTATATCCTGATGATAGATCCATCCATGATCGAGAACCATATATAAAGGTGACAGGAACATTAGGATCGAGTTGACTAATTCTGTCTAACATTGGGCGTTGAGGCCATCCAACTGAACTACATAATGACTTGAATCCTGTTTCACCGCTTAAATGAAAATTGTATTCTCAATAATAAAAGCAGAATTAGAATGAAATAGCAAGATAAGAATGATAAACTGTTATAAAAAGTAGATATTACTTCGTAATCTATATTTATAAACCGCTTTTTTTTGTAAATACCATTCTTATGAGACGAAAATATGACTAGTACACGTTTAATGAAAGAAAAACGAATCAGCTGATAAGAATTCGTCTTGTCTTAGGTTGAAACAATTATTGACATATTCATCAAGACAAAAGATTTCTTGTAAGGAAATGAGCAGAAGAGTTGGCCTTGAGGTGACGATGCCATCGTTTAGAACTCACCTGGACAAACTCTCTAGTGTCCGCAGGGTTGAATAATGGGAACAAAAAAATAATTCGATAAAACATTACGTGATTTTTCGGGTTCATGCACAACACAATGAACGTAAAATTAGGAAAAATAATAAAACAATCTACTAATATATCACCCATATAAATCCCCAGACAAAAAACTTACTTAAGTAATCACAGAATACGAAATAAGTCGCTTTTCGGTTCATTATTATTAACACCACAATTCGTAATATTAATTTTCCCCTAATCCAGAAAAGACCACATCTGACAGTACAAAAGTGGACAATGCATGCATGAAATTACCTTTCAAAAATTGAATCAATATATACGAATTTGAGCAACGAACAACTAGAAGCATGAAACTACAACACAAATATATACTTGCAATTATCTATGGTAAAAATGTACAAGGGCGAATTATGAAACGTTTAGTTGTACAGACAAAACTTAGATGTGTGCATGTACAGGATCTGACCACTTCTGACGGTTCTATTTTATCATAAAAAGTCTAATAACTTCTTGAAAACTAACTAGATTGCGGTGAGCCAAGATGTCAACTGATTTAACTTTACTTTCAGAGAAAAACCTGTAATAAGGTCAGCAGCAAGTACAACCCTAATGTGAATGAAACAAACTGTGAGGTTGATGGTGCTTAAGCTAGTAAAATTTAGACACCCATAACTTTATGCAGTTTCACTGCACCACCGATTTCGGCAAAATTGTGACCTTTTCCCTGCCAGTGAACACAAATGCGCCTGAAGAAGTGGACCCCCCCGAAAATTCATCCTTTACAGAATCGCAAGTCACCAGGCCTAAACGAATTTTCTCTTATGATTTTTAATGCGACAGATCTTTTAGTCACGAATACGACAATGTTTTTTGAAAAGATACGAAACAATGAGAGTTTTTCATCAAAATTTCGAGTAACTAAAATATCGAGCCTAGGAAGGGGTTCATATAATACATATAAAGGATATAAGTTTGTAATCAGAAGAGTTAAAATATATGGACTTCCATAACTCTATACAGATAACATAAGAAGCATGAAATCCACTACACAATGCAAAATCCCTCGACATCATCGTGCGATAGGGAGGGCAAAAGTCATTTTTTAGAGATATCATGCCCAATTTTAGTCAATTAAAGATGGACGTTTCCTAACATTTATTTGATAAGGAAGCGTACATTGACTGCGAGAGGTGCTGTTGTACCGTGGTCATGAAGAAAACAATGTCTCGTGTATAAAGATGCACGAAAAGCAATTCTAGGATCGGAATCATATGGATTCAGGATAATCAAAGCATCCTTCAAAACAAAGGAAAGGATCACAATTAATGCTATCCAGTGCCATGCGCCCACCAATGATTGCAATGAAGACGATAAATACCAGTTTTATGAGAGGCTGCAGTAGATTGTAGAGGAATGTCTCGGAAAGGACCTGACCGTCCTGATGGGAGATTTAAACGCCAAAATTGGAAAGGACAACACCGGGTATTAAGATGTCACGAGAAGACATGGACTGTGAGGAAGCAATCGAAATGGTGAGACATTTGCAAATCTATTTGCTTTCAACAAATCAGTATTTCAAACAGCGTGGTTCAATGGGAGGACTGCCCAAAACACCATATATATGAGAAAACATGGCATGCTCACTCATATTATAGGTGAAATTCATTAAACAAAAGTAAACAAAATTCAGAATAACACGGAACGGAAAGAAATACCATGTAACCATGTAATACACTGAATCAAGCGAAAAATATAGATCACAGCGACCGACTGGTCACAAACAAGAAACATCAATCACTGAGGCCAAACAGCAGCAAAACAGATGGATAGAGAGAGCACTTTGAAGAGCTCCTGAATAGAACAGCTACACTGAACTCAACGAAAATTGAAGCAGCACAGACAGACCATCTTGCAGATGCTCAACCAACAATAAAATAAATCGGCATGGCCACCAAACTAACAAAGGCTGGGAAAATAGCAATTCCAGTCAATATATCTATGGAAGCACTGAAGTCTGTAAGTCTAAAGACTGCAAAGATGCCCACACTATTTTCTGAAAGATCTGGGAGAAGGGACAAATACCAGCGGACTGGGAAGAGGGATACCTCATCAATATACCAAAAAGAAGAGATCTGAGCAATTGTGAGAACTACAGATGGATCACACTACTGTCAGTACCAGGAAAAGTTTTCAACAGAGTGTTGTTGAACCGAATGAAAGATTCAGTAGATGTCCAACTTCAAGATCAACAGGCTGGATTTTGTAAGGATCAATCGTGTACTGACGAGATGGCCACACTACGGATCATTGTTGAGCAATCAATTGAATAAAACTCACCACTATATATCAACTTCTTTGGCTATGAAAAAGCATTTGACAGTGTTGATGGGAAAGCCTCATGGAACGTTTCCCGATACTATGGTGTACCTGAGAAGATTGTCACCATCATACAGACTTCTTGTGAAGAACTATGCTGCAAATTCATGCATGAAGGGAAGCTCACAGATGCATTACAAGTGAAGATCAATGTTAGAAAAGGCTGCTTACTCTTTCCTTTTCTATTTCCTCTAGTGGTTGATTAGACCATTAAGACCTCTAAAGCTCAGAGAAATTACGCAAAACAGTGGATAGTTTTCACGCAACTAGACGATTTGGACTTCGCAGATGACCTAGTTCATATATCCTATACACACAGACAAGTGCGGGCGAAGACAGTCAATTTAGAAAGTCTCTCCAGCATTAGGCCTCAACATACACAAAGGAAAAAGCAAGTTCCTAGAATACGACACAGCGAGCAGCGACCTAACCACATTTGGTGGAGAAGCTATGGAAGAGGTGGAAACTTTTACCTACCTGAACAGTAGCATTGATAAACAAGGAAGATCTGCTGCAGATGTGAAGGCAAGGATTGGCAAAGCCAAGGGCAGCATTCCTGCAATTGAAGAACATCTAGGACTCAAAAACAACTGTCAGCTAACATCAAAGTCAGAATTTTTAATATGAACGCCAAGACAGTTCTACTACACGGAGCTGTGACATGGGGAACTACCAAAACCATCATCAAAAAGGTACAGGTATTTATAAACAGCTGTCTACGTAAGATACTCTAGATCCGTTGGCCAGATACCATCAGCAGCAACCTACTGCGCCGGAGAACAAACTAGATTCCGACCAAAGAAAAAATTAGGAAAAGATGTTGGAAGTGGATAGGCCATAACATTGTGGAAAGTATTAAACTGCATCACATAGTACGTCCTAATTTGAAATCCTCACGGCAAGAGGAAAAGAGGCAGACCATAAAACACATTACGCCGGGAATGGGAGGCAGACATTGACACAATGGACAGCAATTGTCAAAAACTGGAAAGGAGAGCCCAGGACAGTGTTGGGTGGAGAGTCCTGATTGACAGCTCATGCTCAAACAGGGTTAATATATGTGAATGGCATCCAATTGTCACATCGCACAGACATAGTGAGATAAGATTAGTAGTAAGAATGCCAGAGTAAGAAAAATTAGTAACATCATCAGTAGCAGTGTTTCACATTTTTGTAAAACAACATGATATTCACATCTTGACTGTAATCGTACATGAATTGTGCGTTTTTAAGTTCCTGATTCGTACATTTACGACACTGTGATTTCGTTTTTTGCAACGAATTTCTTGATACTTTATTGTCGCAAGTATTTCATGGTCTATGAACAGCGTAATAAACAAAACTTAATAAATTCTTATACGGTTGATTAGCATGAGGCATTTAAACGATTTAAAATTTAGCATGAGCGATTACCGCTATATGTATACACAAATCTAGAATAAAAACTGCTTTCAGTGAGATTTTTCAATACAGAAGTAGTAAATCCTGGTATGTTGCCAGTAATTCTTTTTAAATGGCTAATTTAAAAGCGTTTACTTGACAGAAGGTATACTGGGTCAGACTTTTTAAATGTGACTTGCAAACAATCCGCAAATGTTTTGATAATAATCACGCCGGGTATCATAGTTAAGTTGTTCTATTTGTGCCTAATAACATTCCGTTGTAATATGTGACTTTTTTTGTTTCTATTTAAACGTGACACAACATGTGATGTGATAAACTTAATTTCATGTCAAAAACTGTACCAAGATTATATATATATACAGATGGTTACTATGAGATTTATGGAGTACAATGGTATCGCTTGTTTTGAAAAAAATTGAGCAACTGAAAAATTAACGTTATGTTTAATTATAAACTAGGTTGTATAAATCAATGAATTTTGATGTCAAACATTTTGATATGCTATTATGGTTTATCCTTTGACAAATGAAAATCAATTCCATATAGCGCTAGAATTCAAAGAATTATAAAGAAAGGTTTTATGAAAAACAGAAGTTATGTTGAGTTTATAAATGATCATATACTGTTATATGGGGTTTTCTGAGTTATGCAGTTTGGTAATTAAAAGTTGAATCACTGACAATTTTAAAGACTTTTTCCACACAGATAACAATAATTCATAGAGCACAATGTGATCGTAGTAATATCGAAAGACAATAAATCGAATGGAAAATCCAGAAAGCAATGTTATGCAAGTGTTTTTGCAGAAATAATAAATGGTCAATTTACTGATAATTATACATAAAAATTATAACTAAAAGGTTACTTATAACAAGAACGAATGAAAAGCAGAATCAGTGTTTGTGGTAACAGCATATGGATCTTCATCTAAACATTGACCATGAAGACAGTATGCTAAGCTACTTATAAAATCAACAAAACAGGATCATAAAAATTCGCTACATACAGTGAACTGTTTATATAGTTAGCATACATCTACAGGCGAAATTCAAATGTCATTGCTCAGATGTTAGTTAAAATAACGGTAGCTTACAGCTAGATCACATTTCACAATAATTACTTTCATGCTATAACATGGTGCCTATTTTCATTCCTTGATGTAACTGGTGGTTAGTGTATCAAAGGTTTTAAAATTCGCTCGATTACATCCTAAACTCTTAATAGTTGTTCATTTATAGAAAATAGGGTCACGACTCGTGACTTCCTACATATTCATCATATGCCTAATCATGGAACGATATCGTTTGGATAAGAATTTCCACCCTTCTATTCACTGATAATCACCTCTAAAACAAACAAGATATAGATTTTCATTCATCCAACTAGAATGATGTGCATCACTTTTAAGAGCGTATTGCTCACATGCACTGGAAGACTTATGCGTATACAGAGTCAAGACATTTGCGGACAGTAAATTAATTCGAGAAGAGAATACCAACGTGCAGATAATATATATATATATATATATATATATATATATATATATATGACTAAGAGAATCAGCCGTCATAAGTCGAAGAAACTATTCACCACAAAAATGTGCGAAAGCCTACAATACAACAGTTACAAAATTAATTACTCTTGCTAAATAAACCAAAAATCTAATTAAATAAAGAACCTCTAGTTACTTTAACACGAAAATAGGGGGGAAATCACTCTCATTTGACGGGATAAGTTGGTTTTTATTGTCTACATACGACCACTGATCCTGACATAATTAAACATTTAGGAAAAGCCTCTGAAAAAGCCTCACAAAAGTTAAAAATATTTACAATCCCTTAAACAATTTACTTTTCTTTCTACTCCTGAATAACACGAACTTATTTATGCGAAATAACAGTAATCAGATGGTGAACAGTTTAGTCCAGCTAAAAAAACCAATAGATGTAATTAAGACAATGGTACCTTGGATGCTGACAGTTAATATGATAGACGTAATCCAAAGCTACAGACCCATCCAAATCGTTTAAATCAATAGAATCCATTGTATTGGAATTTGATTTGTCATAGACGGTCTCCCCAGTCTTCATCGTTCTGTGGATCGGTGATGGAGGCTTGAAAACATCATCCTCACCATTAGTTGACTGAATGTGATTATCGTAAGAAAAATTCTGGGTCGATTCAAGTTGTTCTGCTCGAGGTATTTCTGTCATCTTAGGAATTAAAAAATGTTGGATATTAGAATTGTAATCTAAAATTACACATTATCGTTTACTTACTAGACATTTACAACAAGAAAAGTGTCTAACATTGATGCATGAATTTCATGCAAGTTATAAAAAAATCCACTCAGATTACGGAGAGCGCCTGAAGACGAAATCGTCGAACCGAGTAACATATTACCAATTCGCCAGTATAAACTGCTAAGGAGAACTCAGATTACTTACATGTTATCTTTTTTTCTTAAAGAATAATCTCGATGACATTTTTCTAAATTATATTTCAGTAGTGATCTACACTGTTATCAGATTAGTTGTTTTTAATTACAGTCTGCTAGTTGTCTTATGCATCCCAACGTCAATGAGTGTTACTTTGTAAATGGAGTTGTTGAATTTTTGATTTTTGGTTCGAAAGATAACGTTGTCCTAAAACGTCCCTTCTCTATTAGGTGCGTGGATCATTACCGTTGAAGCGTTTTTCTTCGACGTCCAGTCTGTCAAGTTCTCATTAGTCTTGTTAGCATTAAAAGATTCTCAAATTACCGTAGGCCCAACCTAAAACCAATCACAATTACATTATAAAACTTAAAATAAACAAACAACCAACCGACAATTGATAAACACTGATAAAAACAAGTTCAAAATCTGCTTCCAGGTTTTAAAGCTCTTTTATTAACAAAGTATATATATATATATATATATATATATATATATATATATATATATATATATATATATATAACTATCCTATCAGTCTTTTCAAACTTCGTAGATGATTGACAGGTTCACTATTATTTTTTTTAAATACTAAAACAACTCTGCCTGAGGTTTTTCTAGGGTCAGTAATTGTTGGGGACGATAGATTCCCAAAACTCAAATTTTGTAATTTACTTATCGATTAAATGTGCAGATAGGTCAATTGATGAACTATCGATTAAATGTACAAATAGGTCAATTGATGAACTATCGATTAAATGTTCAAATAGCAGTCAATTGTTGATTAATGTTCAAAAATCTTCCATGACAATATCGATTGTAAATATTTGTATAAATACGCTTGATTTGTGTGCTTGACTTGACTTGTGATCTGTTGTTTGTCTGTAGAATACACTTTCTACACCTTACCCAGACTTCTTGATCGAGTTAGCAGAGTTGGGGACAACGGACCAGAATAGGCTATCGAGATTCTGAATCCTTGATCCGATCGATAAGTCACTGTCATATAATCGGCTGTCACTTTGAGCCATAACAGTAATCTCATTCCGTGAAAAAGAACTTTGCTAAGAAACGACAGCCAGAAAAATTCATTTTAATCATTTTAAATCTGCTCAAGGAGTACAAGGGGCAACATTTAGAAGAGTTATAATGCCTTATGATAAATGCCGAGATTCTTCAGAAGTCACGAGGCCGATTGTTTTTCTAAAAATCAGAGCAACAATTAACATAGGTACATTGGATGTCGCCACAATGTAGGAGACTGAGAGGACCAGTCAAGTTGTTGAGGAAATGAGATAGAACCTGGAGGAGCTTGGAACAAGCAAAAACCGTTAGAAGCAAGCTGGATAGAAAAGATAAGCTTCGAGCGAGGTTCTGTTGTACTCTGATCATGAAGAAGAAAATGTCTCGTGTATATAGGTAGTTGCACTGATGTTCTTCAAAGAAACATGAAAAGCACTTATAGTATCGGAATCTCATGGATTCAGGATCATCAAAGCATCTTTCAAAACAGCTTTTATGTCCGAATGTATTCCTGATCTTTTGTTTCGCTTTCTCCCAGCATCACGTTTGCATTGCTTAGCCATGGCGTTTCTTCTTACGGCTGAAACAAGTACGCTTTTTTCAAGTTCATACCTTCCTTGTACCGAGCACCGTTCATCAGATACTTTGTGATAGTCGTAAACTTGCCAGACAGTTACGTTGCATAAGCAGCACCACAAGTTTAGCACAGAAATGTGAAGTTTCGGTTAGGTGTATGTTCTCCAACGTCATAATTTCTACAAGGCGCCATTTTTGTACGGATTGTAACGACTGCGAAATCACAATACTGCACTAACATGCAAGCATATTTATTCAGTAGTTAATATATCGGCATGAATATTCCGTTATACGATTCCGCTGATTTTATCTAATTTAAAGGCCTACCTGGGTAGCTTCTCATCTGTTAGCCCATGTTGCAAATTATTGATCGTGCTTATATAAATGATGTGAACCTGCTATGTCAAAAATCAGCCTATCCCTGAATTCATTACTACAGTTGACCATGATCCTGTCGGGCACTTAGGCACATGCAGGTCAGTACGGTACAGTAATAATGAAATCCAGTTTAGAGTAAATCGGAAAATTGAAAATAGAGGTCATTTTAAAACTTCCAGTTCACAGAACTAACGAGCGAATCTACCTACATTACCATATTTCGGAACAGTGAACATCAACTCTGGGATAAAGGTACATCCAGCTGACGAGCGTCCTGGATCCCGCTGCTGGCCATCATACATCTTTGCTTATAATGCTTGTGGCCCAAGGCAACACCAAGGCAATCCGCACAGGATGCATATATGCCAATAAAAAAACTCCACCAAAATCATCCACCTGAGCTACAAATCTTCTCCACCATCTCAAAACGATCAATTGCAGTCCTAAACATCAATGGGATGATTCAAACGAACAACACAGTGATAGCTATCGTTTCCAACTACAGAGTACGGTTATCTTTTACACCCCGATTAAAATGTACGGCATATGAAGACAGTATTTGGCTTCAAAAACTGTTGGAATCTCTTGATATCCTCACCTCTGTTCTCATTCTAATCTGTTCATCTAGAATTGAGCACTTCATATTGATGTTAACAGTGATTGGAAGTGCTTAAAACCGATGGGAATCACTCCAGTCAATGGAAATTAACGGCCTTATTGATCGACTTACTAACCCCACTTAACGTTTTACGCCTGACAGTCATACCCGTTTGTAAACAAGCAGTCTTAATGAGAAAACCGAATTAGGCTGAACTGCTTGTGAAACAACACTGCTGAAGTCCCATAAATACTTAACAATCAACTACGAATAGTTTCACCTGATATAGTAAATATCTCCATAATTTTCTCTAGATTGAATGAACTCATGTTAAAGACAACTTGAAATATATTAAATCTTAATATACAATAAACTGCACAAGATACAGAAGTAGTGACTTAGTACTTAAGCTATTCCACTTTCGGCCAACAAGTTCCAAGTTCGAACTCCGCTCCATTTCCTTCTGTCCGGACAGCCGGGTAATATCATGAGATCTCACACTCTGTATGGCTCATACTCAAGTACCTGGTGAATGAGTTTGTTCAATTTATTTAAGTATTATCAGACAAAAATTACTAACCCATTATTAGCAAGTATGTGAAACATATGATTATAATTCTATAAATTACGGGGTATAGCTGGACCACTACGTCTTCACAATAAGCTAATAAACGTACTTTCTCTTCGAAACATTTTTATACTTATCGTATAGTTCGCTATTCCAACAGACAACAACAACTATTTAGATAACAAAATTTATCGAAAACATATCTCACCTCTTCCACGCGAATGGGTCTTTGATCGAAAAACCCTCTTAGATCCTGACGGAAATAGTGGATAAGGCTAGGCCCGAAAGGCCCAGCAGCACGAAGAAAGGATAAAGGATTAAAGGGACGGAATATTTGACGGAAAGTCGAAAATATCCATGCTTGAGCTGCACCTACATTCGACTGATCTTTAACTTTTAAAGGATCCTCGACAAAACCCCAAGGATCTGCTAGGATCAAATGAACAATCCTAATTAAAAGGATAAAAAGCATTGACAATTTTTAGTAAGCAAAACCATTATTTTAATGCTATTCATACAACACTCAAGTATTTTATAAACACAATAAAGTATTTCACGACGTATAAATTCCAAGCTGATACAATATCGAACCTAGAACAATAGTGCACTAGCCCAAGTCTCTATATTTCAAAACAGACATAAAAAAGACAACAGAAACAAGACTAAGTAAAAAAATAAGTGGGTCCGAAGCAAAGAACGTCAGTAGAGCTGGCCTACTGGTGGTTTAAAGAAGCATTATTACAATTTTACTTAACTCAGATTGGAAACAAATTCTTTCATGAAATGAATCAATTCCAAAGCATAGTAACTCAGTGAACTTCTCTAATATTTTTATTCATTAATAATATTTATGTTCGAGATGGACGAATAGGAATATACTATAAACATTCTGCATCACAATCTTCTTGAATAATTTAAATATTCCATCCGCAGAATTATGTTCATTCAGTGCTTTTAACTGTTTGGATAGATAACGTTATGAAAGTATTCCCTAGATTTAATAACCACGTCTTACAAACACTTAGTAGTCAATCATAACCATTGTATAGTCTAGCATATAGTTGCACAGCAAAATGAAGTTAACAAGCATAATACCAAATGAGTTCATATTATAGCAGTATTAATGATAATGAGAACGACTAAACATTAGGAATATGGTTCTAAAGAGTATAAAGACAGGATATGAATCAGTCACAACGTAGAACCTGATACGTATGTACATCGTTTCAAGTCTCCATAAACCATTAGCGCAAAGATGAAATTTTCGGGCCAAATCTCAGAAAGTAGAGGTAGTAACAGTACCAGTGGTAATAGGAAGGGTTTGGGACTGGAGATACGACTCGACAAAATAGAAATTAGTGAAATAAAGAAGAGGAAATTTAGAATCTCAGAATTTTGGGGAAGACAAAGAGTGGATGTATTTGCGTCACCGCAAACGGTCGTGAGCTATGTCATTCAAAGTGTCTAACCACTGATCACGATAATCAAGCGGAAGGGAAACTTAAATTCAAGATTTAGAGGAAGATAAACAGTAAGTGCATTTGGGCTAGTGTGACTGGTCCTCAACTGTTACTCGACATCTACAATTGATGATTGCGGCTATCTCGTAGAACTCGATCAGGTAGTCTGAACTTACCAACAGTTAATTATTTCATGAATTGATGCCCAGTCTTGGTTTAGACGTCCCTATGTTTATTACAACCAACTCCCATGTTAACCAGCGTTGCGCGTCAGGGTATGAGGTGGTTGGGTAAATATAACACGTTTCAACCATCCCGATCGGTAGATTTAGTCTGACTGCTTGATTTCCCATAATCACCTAGTACAATATATCTCACTTGATTGTTCCTCCATACGCGAGGAAGATACTTATGATCAAACACTTATATCCTATATAAGGCTTCTACATTTATAAACCGTGTTTCTCACGGTTAAGGTGTACGTGTATTTTTGGACTTACAAATTGCAAATCATAACTCCACCTGTAGCTCTTCTAGAGCTAATGCCAGTCCAAAGCCCACAACAAGGAGAAGGGTTGTGCGTGGGGTCTGCAACCACATCCCGTAGAAAACAATCTTGCTAAAAAACGCCGATCAGATTAAACAAGTTGAACCATTAAAGCTCTGCCCTCCGAGTTGAAGGGAGAATTATAATGCCTCAGGATGAAAGCCAAGATTCTTCGGAGGTCACGAAGCCGATGTCCCTTCTAACAAACAGGGCAACAATTTTTATAGGTATACGGAACGTCCGGACAATGTGGGGGACCGGGCGGACCAACCAAATAGCTGTGGAAATGAGGAGGCACAACTTGGCGATGCCCAGAATAAGTGAAGCACATTTGACCCAAGCTGAACAGATAAGCCTAGATACGGGAGAGATGCTGCTGCACTCCGGTCACGAAGAGGTAATAGCTCCACACACTCAAGGAGTTGCTCTGATGTTGTGCAAAGAAGCAAGAAATCCACCTGTACGATGGGAATCTCATGAATCCAGGATCACCAGAGCATCCTTCAAAAAAGGAATGGGATCACTATGAGTGAAATCCAGTGTTGTGCACACACCAAAGAAAACAACGACAACAATAAAGATCAGTTCTATGAGAGGCTACAATCAATCATAGCTAAGTGCCCAGGAAGAGACCTGACCATCCTAATGGGAAACCTAAACGCCAAAATCGGAATGGACAACACTGGATATAAAGATATCACGGGATGACATGGACTGTGGGAAAGCAACAAAAATGGTGAGACATTTGCAAATTTATGTGAATTTCAAAATCGTTATAAGCGGCACAATATTACGAAACAAACACATACACACAGCTACATGATCCACACCGGATCACGCCACGGAGAACCAGATCGATCATATTTGCTTCACTCAAAAATTCAGAGGGACAATGGAACACGTGGGAACCAGGAGAGGAGCTGACGCAGCTTCAGATCACCACCTAGTTGTGGCCAAGATGAAACCGAAACTAAAGAAACCCTGGACAGCTGGAGAAACAGCAGTACAGAAGTTCAATACAACCTTCCTTTGACATACTGACAAACTCAACAAATTCAAGATCATTCTCAACAATTGGTTCCAAGCCTGTTAGCGGGACATAGACTAGACTAAAGCATGCTCAATGCATGATTGCTTTGGTGCACGCTGATTGGCTAATTCTTATCCAATCAGCGCCAGTCGATAGTTGGAGAATATTCTGGATTCTTCTTATGTAAAAACTATAAATATACCGACGTTTTCCCCTATTGTGCTTCCTACTGGCTTCTGACTTGCTAATTGGAATATAATCTCTTTCCTGTTCAACCGTGTTCTGATTTGGGGACTTGTCGAGTGAATCGGTGTCCGAGAATACTAAGCAATAGGAATAGCTGGGTCATAACCGTAAGAAAACAGAGTTATAACAGTGGCGACGGGGAAAAACTAAAGAAAAATGGCGATTTCTTTAGAACAGTTGCGGTTAATATTACAGCACCAGCAGAAGTTGTTAGCCTTGCAACAACAACTATTGAGCACACTTTTCACTCGACCAGAAAATAAGAAATCTGTTTATGATGCAGTAACAGACATTTCAGAAGCATATCAAGTGGAGGGTTCAAATCCCTTTATACCTGAATCAGAACGTGATATTTGTAACGTTTCCGGCTCACAGCAAGAAAATACTGTGCTGAATGCACATGAAGTTGTGACAATACCAGATGATCAGGAGCCAGATCCTGTAGATGATGCCCAGAGTCCAGAATCAAATGAAACACTACTGGTACTGTCTAGCTGCGAAAATAAACGTCAGCTCGAACAAAATTGTGGTCCACGTGCTATTAGTCGAGAAAGCTATGGTGACTCGTATTCAGAAAATAACTGGAGCAACACGATGAACCAAATTGTACCAGATGTTACTCAAAATCACCGGAAGACAGAATTTTATATTGAGTCAACTTATCCCATTTCTAATGACAGTGTACCAGATATTGATTCTCAGAATAATGCATATGATTTTGATGAACCTTCTTATAACAATGAGGGAAATATGTCAGCTGAGTCGAATGATGGCCAAAAATCTAATCTAATTCTGTTAGACGTTGACTTTCTTAATGACTCGTTATCAGCTAACGAGATTCATAATGAATTTGAAAATAATGAACTCAGATCAAAGGTTGTTCATCATCATCTAGTCATTTTTAGTGGATTCTCCAGTCAATACGAGAAACATGGTTTAAATAAAGTCCTACTAGTTATAATTTGGAGCCATAAGGACCCAACATTATTTCGAGGAGGAGGAGAATGTTGGAGAATTAAAAGTTATGCATACTTTTTTTTAAGAAAAATCAAAACGCCGGGAACAGACATGTCAGTCTCTGTGCAAGGAAAAAGTGATAATTCCTCATTGCCTAGACGATGGACTAATCGAAAGCACAAGCCAGTCACTCAGTTGCAGTTGGACCCTAGCACCAGATCCTACGAATCTGCTCAGAGGGGAGGTGTTAGCGGGACATAGACTAGACTAAAGCATGCTCAATGCATGATTGCTTTGGTGCACGCTGATTGGCTAATTCTTATCCAATCAGCGCCAGTCGATAGTTGGAGAATATTCTGGATTCTTCTTATGTAAAAACTATAAATATACCGACGTTTTCCCCTATTGTGCTTCCTACTGGCTTCTGACTTGCTAATTGGAATATAATCTCTTTCCTGTTCAACCGTGTTCTGATTTGGGGACTTGTCGAGTGAATCGGTGTCCGAGAATACTAAGCAATAGGAATAGCTGGGTCATAACCGCAAGAAAACAGAGTTATAACAAAGCCCTACAAGATCTACTCAAATAATGAGAAGAAACTACTGTGGAGAACAGCTGCGAAGGGATCAAAGAAGCATTGACTTCAACGTGTCAGGAGGTTGTGAGCCGAAAGAAGCATCATCATAAGTAATGGATCTTTATGGAAACCCTAGACAAGATTCAGGTAAGGAAGAACAAAAAGACTGCAATAAACGACAGCCGAATAAGAGCAGAGAAAGTCAAGGCACAAGCTGAATGCACAAGAGCAAACAAGCAAGTGAAGAGGAGCATTAAGGCCGACAAGCGTAAATATGTGGGAGACCTAACAACGACAGCGGAAAAAGCTGCAAGAGAAGGGAATATGACACGGCCATATGACACAACGAAGAAACTAGCAGGGAAATTTAGTAAACCAGAGAGATCAGTCAAGGACAAAGAAGAAAAACAAATCACCGAGATTCAAGAACAGACGGGTGGAATACTTCGAGGAACTCTTGAATAGACCAGCTCCACTGAACCCTCCGGACATGGAAGCAGCATACACAGACATTCCCATAGATGTCACTCCACCAATGACGGAAGAAATCAGCATGGCCATCAGACAAATCAAAGAGTGAGAAAGCAGTAGGACCTAACAACATACCGACTGAAGCAATGAATTCAGACATG